TATTTACGGAATCGTGACATTTATTTAATCGGACGTGACACAAATTGACGAGCATGTGAATTAAATTGATATGGCTTAAATAGTTAAATAACGATATAACCAGCATATTATTATGTATTTAAAAAAAAAATTATTATTATTATTATTACTGTTAATTGTTGCGAATATATTAGTTGAGCGATTATAATACAATTATTTAACACGGTTTGTCCCTGGGACGTGTGCTATAAATTCGATATCGAAATGTAAAAGTCTCAACTCCTTTATTGCTGTAAACACTGTGCGTATTATAATATATCGAAAAATACATGTACATTAAATCCACGAGAGTTTCCCCGTCTTTTTCTGTAACGTCGCGTTACACGGAAATAGAATAATATACGTCATGTAAAATGTTAATACATATCAGAGTTAAATATATATATTATATTATGGCGTGTGAAAAAAAAATTCACGGCATGGTAGCACGGTACACTCGCACTCGCCCACCAACCCATCCATCCACCCACACACACACCGATTCACCCACACGCATACCGATTCACCCACCCTCCACAACATCGCCGGGGAGATACTTCGGTCGATATATTGGACAAATATAAGTATAATACAAACACTTTGTGTGCGTAATACAACGAGAGAAACCGTTTAATTTCAATTTCGAATTCAATTTCAAATCCAAAACAGACACGATTTCGGTCGGAAAAATAATTTATAACGAACTTCTGCGACCGTCGATGCTATATCATGAGTTTGCTGCCGTTTGTCATCGTCCCTGACCCCGGTCGTGCGTACACAGTCACCGGACAGTGATAATAATATTATTATCATTTTGGCAGCCGCACTGCAGTCAAAAATAACTAGTTTAGTGTAATATTATATAATATTATTATAAATTTAGTTTTTGGGAATTATTATTTTTTTATGTTATCGGGCTCGGGCATGGATGAAAAGTAACCGTTTTTGTGTAAAATTAAACAAGCGGCGGCGGCCGGTGGTATATTATACGCGATACCTATATATATATGCGTTAAAGTTTTTCTCCTCGAGATTATTCAAATTTACATATACCTACACACTTACCATATATATATATATATATATTTACGTAGTATATTCCTTTTAAGTAGGTATATAAAAAGTTTGAAAAGTTTTCTACCGTGTGATACGGCTCCTTTACTTAAGTTTGTTTTCACGTCGCGGACGGAAAAAAAAACTCAAATATAAATAAACTGGAAAAGACAGCGCGCTAGTGACAAAAAAAAAAAAAAATAAGAGAAGAATACATGCGTGTTGGCGAACAGTAAAGGATAATATTATATAAAGGAATATTGCCCGAGAAATGGATAGCGCTATACACATATATATATATATATGTATATATATATATATATAAGAGAATACCACAGCTCCGACGAAGCCTATTTGGTATATTTTTCTTATCTGAAATCGTATTCGGGTGCGAAATGTCATTTTCTATACATAACCTACCTATCTATCTATCTGTGTAAACTGTTTATATATAATAATAATAATAATAAAAGTAATAATAATAATCCTAATACCGGTCGGACGGTGGAGCGGTAGAGCGATCGCGCGCGCGGCCAACGCGACTATGTCAGTAGTCATTTATTTTAAACCGTTTATGTCGACGGAAAGGAAAATGTGATTTATACTCGTGTGAATATATATATATATAAGTATCGGGTTTCGAATGAAAATCGCGTGATGTGGGCAGGAAAAAAGAGAGGACCTGTACGGGGGAATGTAGGCTCAAACGAAAGTCACCGCCTAGCCTCGATCAACGGAGGTGAACCGTTCCCTTATTTTTTTAATCAGCTTATATAATTTATAACTCCAGACGAGTTTTCCAACACGCTATTCCACTCCGCCACACCTCCAACCGTCTCGCTGTCATTCCGTGCCCCCGGTACGTTATAATATTATTTTATCGTCAATTTGGGTGCCGGCGCGCCGAGGGGAGGGGGGGGGGGTGGCTAGAAATATAATAATTGCCAAACGCGACGTTCACATACGTATCACCTAGTCTTATAGTAAGTGTAACATTATTTACTGTTGTGACATCGTAATATTTTAACAAGTACTTGGTGACGACCACCGCCGTTTGTCGGATTCGCCTACTGCCTGTACATAACATTGGTTTTCGTGATTTTTCTTTTGCAGTCTCAATTATTCACCTGTACCGAATAATTTAGTTGTAATATGAAAAAAAAATGGTCTCGTGACTATCCGTTATTATCTCTAACAGACCATTATTGCATGCCAACGATATCATATAATTGAATACCCTTGGTCGAGTTACAATAATTATTGTATAGCATAATATGCGTGAGCAATGTGTTTCTGGATAATTGACTATATATGTTCTGGAACAATTGATCCATCTTCTCCAACTTCTCCCTTCCAATTATCGTTAATAGTTGAATGCTTGTTATAATTTTTCCATCGATAATAAAATAGGATATAAGTCAATTGAATCCTTATGTATGTATATATTACATGTGTGGAGTTTAATTGCATAATTGTAAATGCCAACTAACGAATTAGTTTGTAGCCTTTATGTATTATGTTCTTCACAATTTTAATTTTATTTAAATTTTATCAAAATAATAATTATTCTAGCAATTGAATATGTACTCACGTATGTGTAAATAAAACGAAACATGAACATCCGATAACCATCGTTAAATATTTGAACACAATGAATATAAATTCTTTATTCGCAGTGTTGGTAAAATGATTTTGTCATGGGGGAGGGGCGGGAGTACGGCTGATTTTGTATCACTATTTAACTTTTTAACTATTTGATTAGCTATTAACAATAAAATGTGTGGCTATAAGATCATAAATATTGATAAAAAAGATATGATGGATCTCCTCCCTCATCCATCCACCGTTTGACCACCACTGTGTTATTAATCTTTAATAATTAAAAACAACTAATTATATAAGAACAAATTCAATATTTTAATTATTAATATTAAATATTATGATATAACGTATTCTAAAAAAGCTTTAAAGGATTACAGACAGGATACAGGGACCGTGGTTATTGGGAAAACGTCTCATATCGTTGTCCTAAGACAGTTGTTGTGTAATAATTGTGATATTAAATTTGAGAACGATAATAAATCATCGCGAACGAAAAACGATTTCTAGAGCTGTAGAAAATCACGCTTACTGACATCCCTTTAAAATGTTCTTCATGACTTTCAAAAAGTTGGCACATGTTGTTCTTATTGTGGTGTTCTCAGTCTTATTCGTATTAGCCTCTATATTATACGATCAGGTATGGAAGTATAATGATAAATAGAAAATCATACCACCACAGAATGCACAGAAAAATCATGTTCATAGCGCTTCCTATACGCATTAATATCGGGTAAGGGTGATAGTACTCATTTCACTCATTTCCTCTCAAGTTTGTGATGATTATTTTTTTATTATTTCGAAGTAACAAACGATCACTCGTCCATCTTGAAAAATCAAACCTGAGTAGGATTTGGTTTTGCACAAAATGCCACTGCAGCATTTTGTTTTAATAAAAGATCAACGTGTTCTGTGGTTTTTCACAATTTTTTTCAAAATCTTCTTGGGAATTGAAAAATTGACGTTACAATCCATGTTCGATTTCCAATCTACATACATATTGTGCCGAATGAAATATCTTGATCGTTATTTATGACCTCAAATAGTGTTTTATGTTCAAAAAAAAACTCAACATTGTAAAATCAATAGCACCACAGCACAGCTCAGTCTACAAACTGTATACACAATATTGACGGCACGACTAGTTGAAATTTACACTCCGAGGTACCTTTAACGTACATTTTTGCCTTTCAAACATTGTATATGTGAATAACCTGACCCGGTTGAAAGTGTGCTCTGCGCGAAATGTCACATGATCAACCTTTTTATGTGTATGTGTACATATATATAAACAAAAAATGTATATATTTAGAAAGTAACCCATTATAAAATGTATAGGCACATAATAAAGCTCCAGGGTTGAAGTACTCCTCAACGAGTGCAGCCGCGATCCGCACATTCATGTAGATTGAAAACTTTAAAATAGTAAAGCAGCCGTCGATCATTTAGCAGTTATGTGTACCACATAGAACATAGGTATCATAATATACTGTTATATAGGACGACATTTTAAATCACGTTTATATTTTAACTTTTTTTCCTAGAAAAGTTTGTGTGTTCGGATATGATTTCATCACGAACTCTTCGATGAATACCGTCCCATGTTACGAGCTATATAATGATAAAAAAATAAATAAATAAAACGTCAAAGAAAAATATTTTAAAAACCCTGTCGTCGCACCCACGCTGTCGTCAGCCATATTTAGGTTTCTCATTCGTAATAGACTAATAAATAATAACAATATAGTTAACTATTATCCTACGTAGGTAATAAAAACAATACTAATACCCGTGGCGGAATATTATCGTACACGCCCTACGAAATCAGTCCGGCCCGCCACAGCGTTCAGGATTCGCGTTAAAAATTGGTTTCTATACCCGCGACTACGACGATGACGTGATATCGCACTGTGGTGAAATATAGAGTTAATTAGGATTAGCAATGTCGCGTGTAATGAAAATAGCGACGCGACCTCGTATATCATTCCGCAGTACAAAATCGATACCAGTGTATGTGTATGTGTGTGTGTAAGCTTCCAACTATATATAAGTACATAAATGTGTATTCGAAAACGTTATAAGCACACACACACACACACACATTCAACGACGACAAAAAATATAATACATGACCTCTAAGGAAGCGAGTGTAAGATTATATCAGCGTTGAACCCGTGTCGCGTTTGAGGGGGTCGCCCACCCACTGTAGGTCGTTGGCGGTGTCATCTCATTGCTACTTTATTTTTGTGTCTTACCACATCATCTTATCTAAAATAATATGTGAAATGTAAAAAAAAAAAGTTAACTATACCGTGTGATTCTGTTGACAGAAATATTGGAATTCGACACGCCTGCCGAACAGATCACCAACGAGTACACAGACTACTTCATCAAGTGTAAGGTGAAGGGCAACACAAACCCCACTTTTATGTGGTCTTACAATGGTCAGACATTAAAAGAAAAAACGACAAGTTAGTACTATTATAATATTATTATTGTTATTAATCATGTAGTATAATAGTGTTTGGGCACCCTTATTATGACCGTTAAACCACGGTGAAGGTTGCAATAATATAGTATAGTATAGTAATAATATAGTAAGTTCAGGAGCTACTGACGGTTCGACCTTACAAATTTTACCTCTTTTGATTTTTTTATAATCTAAAGAGTTAGTGTTAGGCATAAACTTGGGCTCAAGCACATGAAAAACAAATTTTAAATAATTTTTTTTTAAACTTCACAAATTACTTTTTATAGGTTTGAGTCTGAATTATTGAGTTCCGTTTTTTTATAACACCTTTAAATGATTCAGAATTATTTGGTGTTAGTGGTAGACGTGGTAAATTGGTTGATTTGTCCCGATATGGTTTACACTTTTGCCTATTTTTTTGTATTGTATTCAGGATGGAGGCGCGATTTTAAAGACTATAAAAAAATCGAGTGAGCTGAAATGGGTTTGGTCAAAAGCTCCTGCACTATACATATTATATACGTACTTGATCGAATAATACTATCATAACATTATTATGCTCTTCTCACACAGGCGGAAAGTATTCGGTGCTCGAAGGCGGGCTGATGGTGCGGAACGTGACACACCTGGATTCGGGTAAATACACTTGCAGAGCTTTCGAGACCACTAACAAGTCCAGTGTTTCCGGAAGTACTGTAATCGAATTAAAAGTCAGACGTGAGTATGCACTTGATTCAATGCCAAATAAAATTAAGGATGCCTACTTAATATACTGCAATAATTGCATAAGAAAAATATGTGAGCCATTAATCGTCTTCCGTATTTAGTAGTACCAACTATATTTATTGATCGTATATAGATCGAGGAGACCTATTTTTATTTATGTACCTAATAAATATGTGCCACTACTTTCCCTTTACGAACTATTACACTATATACTATTATTTATTGTTATGTATTACACTCAACTGTCAAATTTATATTTTAAAAAATAATTTTTTCGATGAATCTGACCTATATTTATATAGTCGTTCGTGACATTTCTTAATAAAAGAAAATAACGATTCCCTACTGAAACAATATTATATTAAAAGTACAATATTTTTTTTATTACGAAGTTAGTTGTTGAAGTTGCATTGAAAAAAGATGCGTATGGATTTTTGAATTTTTATATTATAATATAATACGTTTAAAATTTATATTTTAGTTTTGTGGAAGTTATTCTTGTAATCTTTCGGTAGGTATTAATATGCCTTAACACTGCAAACATTGGTGTAATTTTACATACAGCCATATATTTATTATATTTATTTTATTATTTTATAAAAATGATAGGGATACAAATTTAAATATAGAAAAAAAAAATAAATACATTTATCACAACGTAAATTATCATTTTTCTAAAAATTTCAAATTAATAATTAAAAAATAGATTATTTTTGGGTTTAAACTTTAAAGGTCTGATTAGAATCAGTGATCCAAGATGTGCCAGTATGTCATGATTAGATTTGTTATGACACGTGTAACATTAGATTGCGAGTACTCGGATGAATAAATTAACAATATTTTGAACTCTAATTTCACTCTGCACCTTACACCTTTAGAGAAGTATTTATTTTAATATAAAGAAAAAGTTTATGTTTACAAAGGAGAATACCTAAGTTGTTTGCTTAAATCATTAAAAATGTAAAATATCTTGTTATTCATACTTTTATAGTAGGTATTTAATAAATGAATTACAGAATATATATTATTGTTATTTTAATAAATAGGTACCTGATCAATTATGTAAATGATACATAGGTATCTATTATATGAATTTAACTTTAAAATATCATAAAACCTAAATAATTAATGGATATTATATGGATTTTTTCTTTAAACTATTTTCATAAAATTGTTTTTCTAAAGAGTAAGGGAGTAAAAAGTAAATAGATAGGTAATTAGAACCTATTAAAATTTAAAATCCAAAACGAATTATTGTTGATTCTTAAGAATGAGAAAATGTCTTACACCTTTTCTGGATTACAATTCATCATCTGTAAATTCCACTATAAATATAATATTAATTATAATAATTAATTGCAAACACTGAAGCATTACAAAATAATAATAAATACCATCCACTATCAGAGTTATTGTGGCATTATGTTTTCATCACTATATTCTGCTTTCTAAAACTCAAACAAAAGCTCTTCAATTAGTCGTACTATGAAAGTATAAATAAAACGGATATGCAGTCTTCGTTGTCTGATGTAGTATTATAATCCTACATCATGATAATAACATATATTATATTATTTCTATATCTATATGATATATCATACCAAGTACATACACATAATTCCAAGGTATCCGTGGTATTAATATATACCACATTATATCCCCGACAGAATGAAAAAAATATATTAATATTAGAAACTTTCTAAACCGTCAATATAATTGAAATATATTGAATTAGTATTTTTTTCTTAAAATATTTTAAGACCCTCGAGTTAAGTTTTCAGATTTTTTCATATTTTGAATTTTTTTATTTTGGTTTAAGAAGGCGACGGATTTCGAGTATAAAAATCAAACATATTTTAATAACATACGTACCTTTGGATTTATGGCTTATTGTAGTGGAGAGAGTAGAGTTTGGTCGGTAGACACGGTCGGATTTTATCGCCAATAGAGGGGTTCATATTATCCAAAACTGACAGTAAAAATATGGTCTCTACTTCCAAGATCCTAAAAGTTTACTGTATAAGATTAACTTAAATAGTACGTTCTTTCGGTAAATTTATTTGTAAGAAATATATGTCTGCAATATTTGTCTTTTATGTTTATCTATATCATTGTACAATGGAGATGATACTTTAACATAATATCCTTTAGGTATTTAAGTTTATTACTATTTTTATATTCTAAACTTTAAAACGATAATGGCCATCGACTAAAGTTTAATATATTTAATGATTAAAAATTGAGCACTCACACACAAATATCGCAATCAAAAATATAAATGACGAGTACACTGTTGTCACTCGATGTCGACCACTAACTTAATTGATGATTCACTGATGTGATCATCATCAGCTCAATACAAGAACCATCATAACAATAAAATAACATCACCTATAAAATTATTAATGTTATCACTTATATTGTGTTTGCGTTCGATCAATATAATAATGCCTATATCACATTTTTTTTCCCCGCAGACAAACCGGTGTTTTTGAGCCACATGGAAGGTGATCCCGTTGACCTGTACGTATTCCAGTCGGACTCGGTTAATTTAACGTGTCAGAATTCAGCTGAACCAGAGGCAAACATGTCATGGAGTTTCAACGGAAAACCCTTCATCAACCCATCCGACCACTACATCGTACGTATTTTATTACATATGCTGTGTATATATAATGTATAAAATGTTATTACTATGAACCTGGTGTACGGTATGTTACAAGAAAAACATAATACCTAATTTTGTGGTCTCCCAGGTTAGGTTAGGTTCTCCTCGCCATATACCGCGGTGCCGTTTCAGAATGAAATTAGAACCGCCGGTCGAGGTATAAAAATATTGTATTTTCGCTGGATGTGTAATGATTTCGAAGGCCGTACAAGCAAATGTTTTTCGGTACTTATAGTTAAACGATTCGATCTTCGTTTTTGAAATTTTTAGAAGCTTAACTGACTGACTTAACCATTGACCACCAGATGTTGTTTTCAATATTTTAATTGGAGTATAAAATTATGTATGATTGCATGACTTGCATAACATTCGATATTAAAACACCATATTATAACAACGCAGTTAATTAGTATGATTATATTTTGGTATATTATAAATTACATTACTCCTTCAGGTTATGTAAAATATTTTATTTACATTTTTTTTTCTTATTTAAAAAAATGTCATGCGGGCGGAAACGTTTGAGACGGCATTCATTTATAAAATGTTTCGCTGATATTTCTAGTTAAATACTTTTTTTATTTGCGATTTAATCGGAGTATTCGTGTGAAGTGCCACGTTTCGAACAAATCAAGGGATATACTAAATATTTAAATAATATACAATATATTAATATTGGAAAACATTGATTTAATTACGGTTTGCCGCACACTCCTTTCTACGTTTCTGCAAATATGCATATATATGATACATTCCATAGTCAAACAATAATATTTGCTGAGAATTGTTTTTGCTATCACTTCTAAACAATTTGGCTTAAACATTTACCAGTCCCATAATATATTTGAAGCTAACCCATATGGTCATTGAAATTGAGAGTGAAGTTATCACAATGCGGAAAGGGTGACAAAATAAAAATAACTGTGCCTTGGTGTATTTTACGAATTCTTCGATTAGGTAATTTCTACAGTATCGTATTACAAAATACTTAATTATATTATAGTTTCAATATAATGCGTGAACCATTGCGTGTTGTCAATAGTGTACTCTGTGCTCACAGGTATTCGTGTTATAACTTTTTTAATGGTTCATATTTTATCATGTACAATATTATAATATAGTGAACCCTTTACCATATACTGTATACCATAGTATTATATACGTATCGCGTGTTTGTATACGCCCTTCCAGGTGACGTTCAACAGACCGGAAAAGTTGGGATCGTACTCGTGCACGGCCGCGAATAATTTGGGCAAAATCACCAGACGGTTCAACCTGATCGAAGGGTTCAAGCCGAAAACGCCCAGCGGTCTGTCGGTGGCGCGTGTCGGCGACAACTACATCGAACTGCAAGTGGTGCCCAACGACAAAGGGGACGAGTTGATTGGCTACAGAGTCGAGTACGTGACGAAAGTCGTGGAACCCAGCGGAAACACTTTCGAAAGTTTCGACATGATGAACTTCAATACCACCGAAGGTACGTGTAACCGACTCCCCCCCCGCCCCTCCCGCCCGATGCCCAGCTCGTGCAGCGGCAATTACAGCCTATGATATAACTGCAGCAGTACCTAGCCGAAAGAAAGTTGTTGTATAATAATTATTTATTACCATCACACGCCGCTGCTAATACTAATACTATATACTTAGGTATGCTTACAAACTAGCTAACTAAACTCGTAGTACGACTATATATTATTTTATTACTATACACGCGAAACCTGCTGCTGAGATGAGCCCCGGCGGCAGTTTTCCATTAATTTATTATTAATTATTACTATACTTCGCATAATAAACGAAACGCTGGTACTCGCGGTGCGTGTTTCAGGTCCTTTTGCACTAGTCAACCTCAAGCCCAACACCGAATACATAACGAAAATCCTGGCCAGGAACCGGGCCGGTTACAGCGAATACACCGAACCGATCGTGGTCCGGACGTCGCCGGAAATCGTCAACAGCGGCGGAGTGCCGGCCCTCTCCGACGGGTTCCTCTTCCGACAGCTCCTGACCGTCGTCGCCGGCGCCTTGTTCTCGGCTAGCCTGTAAATGCCGCCGATCGATACAAACAGTCGCATAATATTTTAGATCTATATATTATTACTATACGTACAGCCTTCATAGAGATCTATTCAAAGCTTCTATGTATATAGGACAAGAGCCATCACGATAATATAATAGATCTGTCTTATCTTTCTATAATATTATACATAACACTACAAGTTATAATATGCAGCCACCACCGCTCCGGTGTAATATTATACGGTCATCCGCTCGTCGTTATAGTTTTATCGGGGCGCACGATTCCCCGGCCGCTTGTTTTATTTTTATCGTATTTTTTATAGTAATATTATAATATAATACATGTTGCTTGATGTCGTCATTGTGACATCAACGATATTATAACAATATATTATTATTATTATTATATACTATCCTAGTCGTCCTTTTACTCTATATTAATACAAAATATTATATCTGAATCGAATCCGTGTGAACAAATAAAATAGTGATAACATTCTATATACGCGATGATGGCGTTCCAATAACATTGACACACTTTTCAAGGTACTATACGTCATATTCACACACACACACACACACACACACACACCGAAAACCAAAACTCACGTTCGACGTGTATATCTCTTTCAAATGATACGTGAACAGACACACAGACAAAACAGACACTATATAGACGTGCAAGATTTGGCTTTTGTCGCAGTTACCCATTTGTCGGCGACGGCTGTGGGTAATATTCGCGTGTTCGGTGGAGAGTGCGAGTAAAATAATATGTCCACCGCCGCCGCCGCAGTGCGCAAAACTGTGTGTTTATATATTTTATTTTATATACGACACACACGCCCGTCATTCCGAAATAGTAATAATAATATTGCCGTTATTATTGTTGCGTCGACATATTATTATTATTTGTTTTTTCGCCGACGATACAGTCTCCGCTTTTGTCGCCGCCGTTAAGATACTTCGTCCTATCAACGACGCCTATATTGTGAAGAATAAAAAAAATTAATATACAATTATTTACGCGCTTAAGGTTTTTTTCTCCTCCGTAATGCCTATTACGACGTAATGACATTACGTAACTGTAAATATCGAAATACCATAATACTATATTCTATATATTTTACGTGTACTCTAGTGACGATAATCCCAATAATATTATATTATATAGATAGGTATTGTTAGGATTATAATAATATGTATTATACTAATTACTAATACATGCGCGCATGCTGTTCGATTATGGTACATATTATTATTGTTTAAGTATGGTTACTAAAAACAACTCCGATCCGATGAACTTAGTGGTACCTATATCAAAAATATAATATTGTCGACGCCGCGTAGTATAATATTCGTGCGTATTGTATGCGAATGATGTAAAACGTATCAAATATTATAATATGACATTGATTATTATTATTGTAAAATACGTATGTTAATATTACCATTACTTTATATTATATTATTATTATTATTATTATTATTATTATTATCATTACAATTATAACTTTTATTGCCTATTTTTATTTTGAACTTGCGACGCCAGGATAGGAACTCCCACCCCTCCTGCAACGAAAAACGATTACTGCATACTAACCTGTAACATATAATAATAGGTACTCATATTATTATATATTATACATTATACATGCGATAAAAATGAAAAAGAAAAACGCTTGACATGAAAATATATTGGCTTATGCAATTTCGTATAAACCCGTGTGTATATATATATATATATATGACACGCCGCGCCGGCGCATGATTTATTCGGTTTCTATACATTTTATTTTTTCCCTCGGTTTTTATCATTTTAATAATAAAGTGTACACTCTGTGACACACCGTGTGGCCGCCACCACCGCCGCCGCCTTAACAATAAAACGGTTTTTACGACCAGAATCTGACGTCGAGAACAACATAATATACTTTGAATATTTATTAGGTACGTCCTCCCCTCCCCACTTTCCGTTTCTCCACGCATTGGTAGATATATTATTATTATATCCGCGCCACTACGATGTCCTTGCGCCTCGACAGACACCCCGCTCCAGATTTTCGTCTGACCGAGTCGAGCCAAAGTACACGTCGTCAGTCGTCGGTGGAGGGTCGAGGGGGTGAAGTATTTTGACGTACCTTTATTGTATACCACATATATATACAAACTCGATCGCTTGGTGGGAGGGGGCTAAAGACCTTTACATATTATATGACTGCGGGACGACGTTTCAGATCCCGAGTGGAACTTGTATTTTTCTCTTTTTATTTTTTATCTTGACATCGTCTTCCCTCAGCCGTAATAATATATTATACCTAGACTGTTTGTCCTTAAAACGCCGAATTCCTCACGGTAAATAAACATCGGTTAACATAAAATATCATACATTTTATCCATATATACAGCAACATATTTGGTATAGAACATTAGATAATAATATTTATCATGCACCCGCGGATCCTAATCTCTTCTGAACGATATCGCTTTTTATTTTCCTACCTCCACAGTGAGACGCTCTGTATCGTGTATTTTGATCACATTCGATCTTGATTATTGTTTCTAACATTTTTCCGTTATAAAACAAAACATGTCCATTGAAATGAGCTTGCAGTGTTTTCATTGTGAACTTACTACCTATGTTAGTACCTATATCTAGAACATATATAATTTTCTGAATCCAAAATTTTCCATCAGTAAAAATTATTTTTTTTTTTATTGTCCTTAAGGGCTACGGTGTCTGCTTAAAATTAATAACTCACCCCCTCCCTCAACAAAAAAAAGCCGACGAATATCTGTGGGTGGATCTGGGAGTTAATATTAAATTGATTTGTACCAACTTGTTACATTGTGCTTCGCCACTGTATGTGTACTCCTAACGCATTGACGTGGATTTCGGCCGAAGATCACACAAAAATCAAGTCAAAATCGTTTTGGAACGTTTGGTCAATGACGAGAGGTTAGAAGGTTAGGTCAAATACAAGAATAAAAATGTGTTTAATTAGGTTAAAATATCGTATGTGGTCACCTCCTTAATCAGCGACACTTGAATCTTATCATTATTTGCGCTAGCCATATAAAAACCGTGTCAAAACGTGATCAATGATCGAACATTGATTGCGTGTGCCCCAAAAGTTTCAAAAAAATAAAATCGACGTAATATTTCTTCCCAAATTTCCCGCTGCGCACTTGTATTTACCAAGTGAAAACCGTTTTTCAGACAGTTACATTTTTTTTTGTTCATTTTTAGCATTCGACTTTGTAAAACTATTATTATAATTATAAATTTTTTTCAAGCATTTAAAATATATATGTATTAGATTTTATTGATTTTAATATAATATATTCTTACTCATAATAAATTTTATTTTATATACGTGTCTCTATATTTTATGAAAATAAAAAGTAGCAATAGTGTAATGCACTAATATATTTACGATAACATTTAATATAATATATATTATATTATGTACGTTAAACTAGTATTACGTCGCCAAATTCTTAAAAAAAAAAAATGTGAATTTACTATATTATGCATGATGTTAAAAGTCAAAACCTTAAACCATACTATATATATTAGTTTTCCCATGTGAAAATTGATTTTACAATAATTCATATTTTCATAACGAAAACAAATGTTTATATATAGAGAAAAAATCACTAATAAATGTTTAATTGATAATTTGTTTTAATTATTTTTTTGATTTTACAGAACCTCATAAAGCACGCTCTACTTTTCCTTACCATTTTACTTTTAAAATGTACAATATAAACTATTCATAGAGAACCTATTGTGTATATTCCAGACATTATATTATGATTATGTAACGATATTTGCACATTCCCATTTGTCTATTTTACAAAGAATCTGGCAATTCGCTTGACAAATATTTGAAGTACTTAGATACTTACCAAAAGAGTAAAAAATAAAATGAAACTAAAAGTGTTGTTCTCATGAATATTTTATATTACTATTTATAAGTACATTAATAAATTTAATGCATCATATTATTTGAATGGCGGAGAGTCTCGATGTGTCCAACGCGAATCTGGTGACTATCTAAGAGACGTGGATAGCATTAGGTTAATTATTGTAAAACAATAATATCATTTTATAATAATATTATGTTTAATGTTTATTCGTACAGATCACTTGGCTCATCGACAATATTAATGAATCAAATTTGTGTTGGATAAGTTTACTTTTGCACTGGCTGCAACTTTCGGAATAGTTGTGGACACACACGCAATAATAACAATATATTATATTAAACGCTTCTAGACACGTGCTGTACACTGTGGTGAAATGATATCTGGGCATTGTTGTTGTTGTAGTTGTTGTTGTTGTTGTTTTTGTTTTTGTTGCCGTTGTTGTTGTTGTTTGGTGTACTTGGGATGTGCGTGGAATCAATTTGTAATTTACTCGCAAAGTTTTCTAAGTAAAGCCATTAGCACTCAAAGAGTTCAATATGCCACGCACGTACATTAATTATTATTTTTTACCTGCAATCAACTACCTACTGATATACCTATTTGATATAGTTCTGTTTGGGAAAAACAAGAACTCGGACAATGATTATCGTCATGTGAACAGCTGGTAATGATATAACCTGATGAGTCGAAATAAGGTGAAACAGGGTAAAAGTGAGGTGCTCACTAACCGCTCATTTCGATTGTCGTAATTAAACGCGTTATAACAATTACGGACTTAACACCCACCAGTTGGCGATCGATTGGTTGCCGATGCTATTATATTTCACTAACAGCTCATTAAAATACATCGCAGTTAACGACTTTCTCACAAAATGTGTTATATAAATTTGCTATACAATCAAACTTCTCTTGATTTTTAATCGATTTTCATCACATTTTTTACTGGTCGGTGAAAATATATGTAAAAATGTTATCCGTTCGTAAATGTTATGCTATACAAATAATATGAATAAAAGCAAATAGTACCTTTAAAAAAAAAAATCTTTCTGAATAGAAATATGGTATTCATATTTATTTAATTTAAATGTTTGTAACAAAAAATCATCAAATTATAAGTAAACAAGATGCAAATATTGAAAATTTGCTTACGACGAGTATCGTTTTATGTTTTTAATAATTATTCGTACCGAGGGAAATAAATAATGATATTATACTGCAATGTATAATATTATATACAATAATAGTAAAATCCGATGTTAATATATATTTTACTAAGTACAGCATAAAGTGTTCGGTGATTTTATTTCAACATGCTACTCTCATTTTTAAATTGTTTCAGTTCATTCTTATTATTCACTTTATGGTATAATATTAGAATACTTGTTGATGGGTTTTAAGTCCTACGACTCGCGTTCATGTAGCTAAATTGCCTATTTAGGACGCCGTGCTATAATTATATTATTGTATTAAGAATATTAATGAATAAAGAAGAGCCATTTACATTATACAACTAACATTATGGGATACTGGAAAAATTGATACATTTTCGTTTTAAACGCCAGGACCAAAAAATAAAAAACTGTGTCGAAAATGTATATTGAGTATAAGAGCAGACTTCACATTTTATGTGCTCGTCAGGTCAAATATTATGACGAATAGAATATATATAGTATTAGTATAATATCATATGTATTTATAGTCAGAATATTGTATTGTTATTCAAAATATTATGTTCAATTTTTAATTAAATACATTTTCTGATGAAACTGTGTTTATTTCGAACATGAAATCTTGTTACGAAATAAACTTTTTTTTAAATATTAATTTTTAATGGAGAATCGTAATAATTAAAACCTATATTTTAATATGTGATGGATAATGACATATTCATATATTATGAGTAATTGTGGTTGTAATCTTTCAGTATAATCATTGTCATATAAGTTTTCCGTAAATGGGTCAATAACCTTATGTGCCTACACACCACACGACTACGACTCTATTACTGTCGTTGGCACGTGAGTGTGCGTGGTTCAGCGATGGCGTTTGTTGGAAACGCTTTGTCTAATAAAACGTGCAAATTCGGTTATAAGGTAATTATATTTCACACGTGTTGTTGTTATTATTATTCTATGCGTTTATTTTGTCATACTCGAAGTCACGTTTCCCGTTTGAAGCTTTTGTCGTACAGGCGCGTCTGAATCGTATAATATAATAATATATTGCATAAAAAGTCAAATCTCGTCCTTATAGACCAAACTTCTTTTTATGTTAAACTCGCAAGGGGAAGTGTGGAAACAATATTTTTACACACACCCTTCAAAACCCCGAGGTTTTACAGCGGATGTCTCGGCTGAATATTGAATGTAAAACTTTAGGAAGTACCTATGTGAATAGTTATTTATTGACATTAAAATATACGGGTACTTATATTGATAAACTATTTATTTACACAACCGTGTGTATTCCGAGAATATAATTGATTCAGTTTAAAATAAAACTCGGCAAAAGTGTAATTGCTAGTATAATATTATTATAGTTTTACTACTTTCTACAGGAACCGTTTAAATTGAATGGCCCATAAAAATTATATTTAAACTAAATAATTACATCGATTTACCACTTAAAAATAATAATTATATACTAATACTCTTAAATAAAATCCACCCTTTAGTTTGGTAGAGTCCCAAATCTTTTTACATTTTTTTTCCCAAATCGGATTGCGGTGTTTTCTATTTTTTAAACTATAAGTATCTTGCTAACATTATTTAAACCCCATTAGGTTTTTATTACCTATTACGCAACGTATAAAAGAACACTATATTACATTTATTTTGTTTTCATCCACATCATGAATAATTCGAAATAACGTTATATTGTTACCATTATAGTTTATAGTTAGATATAGATTTCCAAATTCTAATAATTGCCTTTAATATACCCTGTTTTATTGAAATTTATTATTACACTCCTTAAATCTTTAAATATTATGACGTTCATAAGACGGTCCTCTTGTAGGTATAAAACGATACATATTTTAATCAGTTGTATTTTTATAATGAATTTAATTAAACAACCACATTGCTATGTTTGGGGTGATTTGTATACATAAATATTGCTACACAAACACTAATACCTGGATTTAAATTCCCTAAAAACAATCGAAAAGTATCCGGAAATATTGTATTTTGACCTCAAAATTCTTTTAATAACTTTAAAAATGACAAATATATATTTTTTTTATTACAAAAAATCAATTCAATAAATACTTTAATATAAGTTCAATAATATAATTAAGAAATTTAAAAAAAATTACCTAAAAATAATTGGAAGTGGATCATCTGCAATTGGGTCTTCACTGAACTTTACTAAACACTAACCTTGTTTATTGACTCAATGATTATTATGTCACATGTGCCATGCTGCTTAAATTCTGTGGTGGTTAGTGGTTACTGATTGGTTACTCATCTGAGAACGAACAACCGGATGATCGGTTTAACACTAGTGCCAGACGGCAACTGGTGATGAGTGATAGATCCAATAACGTAGTGTATAACAAAATTACAACCTATACTTAATAAGTGATTAGTTATAAGTGTTATAACTTATAACGTATTAATTATCACTAATATTCCACATATAAAATAGCTATACATTTATTTTAACCTCAATCAAGAAAAGTTTAGAGTGTACTTATTTTTAAAATGGCTAAAGATAAAAAAATAAGTTAATAATTTAAGTTTGTATTCCAAGCAATCTAAATTGGAGCAAGGTATAAATATGATTTCATGAAGTAAATAAAATATTGTATGATATAAACATAATTTAATCGCACTTAAATACATCATTATATGATCCTATATTATACGATATTATAAATAATAAAAATTATCAAATCAAATTAAAAGTTACTAAATGGAATCTAGCTGTGCCTAAA